ATATAGAATTTATTTTTAAAAATTAAAGAAAAATTTTAAGTTTATGTGTAATATTATTTTATTAAAAAATTGTGGTTTTAAATATGATAGAAAAATATATTTAAAAAAAAAAATGAGAATCAAACAAGAATAAAAATGTCGTTACTTGATTAAACGAAATTGACAGCAATCTGACTAAAATAAAGTGAAAGAATAGCTATCTGATTGAAATAAAGTGAAAATATAGAAATGACGAATGGTATTTACTTATATTTAATTGGACATATCATTTGACGACATGAAATATCATATTATCTGTACTAAACACTAGTTGTGCTACATATGTAAAGCATTATTTTAATAAGAAAATTACACTGTTAATCCGCATCTCCAACTTTAAATTTTCGTCCATTGAGGACCAATAGTACTACATAATGTAAAGCTTGGGCTAATGTTGTGAAAAAAGATAAGCCGAGGATCGAGTTGCAATAGAGGCAATGGGTTAGGAATCTTATAAAAAACCACATGAAATAGCATGTATTATCAAATCATATGATTGACATCTTATCAGTTCCCATGAAAATGTGGAGAATCAAATTATTTAAATTCTCTGCAGAAAGAAACAAAGCATTTTTTTTTCTTTTTTTCTTATTATTTTTTATTTCGCATTTACAGAGTTCACATAAATATATTATTACAACTGGTCTATTTTAAATATAAATAAACTAGCTTGACCTTTAAATATTGGTTCAATATGATATTATATAATACAAATATTCCGATTTTAACTTTCACCTCAACTTTCCAATATGACCAATAATTTGCTTCATTAAAAATTAAGTAATGTTATTCATTTTCAGTAGGGATGAAAACACAGTCCGTGTGTCATTAAATGATAGGTTAAATAAAAAGTAAAATTGAATGACTTATTTAATTTCACCTATCATTTAATGACACATTAGATTAGCGACACATAGACTGTGGTTTCATCCCCAACATTACTCTTAAAAATTAGGTCTTGCTCTAACTTTTTTTAGCGATTACTACTTGTCAGCTAAAAATAGATATACTATTAGGCCCCGTTTGATATCTTTCATTTTCCATGGAACTTGGAAATTATTTTCCATTTTCCATATTTTACAATGTTTGATAGGTAAAAATTTTCCATGGAATTGGCTTACATCCTGACCCTCACGTGATCTCTTTTTCTTAGGGCCTGTTTGATGGCCTTGATTTTCCATGGAATTTTCCATTTTCCCACTTTTTGGCTGTTTGATAACAATAATTTTTCATGGAAAAAATTTTCCCCCCCAACCCCCCACGTGCCATATTTCCTTGTTTTGGAGGAAAAATTTTTCCCACCATTTTGGTGGGAAAAAATTTTCCATGAGGCTGTCAATATATTTTTTTTTTTTTTTGCAATAGAAACAAATGTCATAATCAAGTGTTAAAAAATTTTCACTTTAATTGACAATTTTCATGTAAAACAAAGTCAAACGAACACTAAACTTTGATGAAAAAAATGATTTTTTAGGAAACAATTTTTTTTTCCTTTTTTTTTTTTTACTTTTTGGCAATGGAAAAAAATTTTATAACCAATTGTG